TAATTCAAAGAATTTTATCTAAGATATTAGTGAGAAAATATCGTATAGCATATTGACTGCAACCAAAATTGACATCAAATGTGAAAAACCTAAACCATTTGATGAAAAATGAAGTAATTCAATTCAGCATAACAAATGATTGCCAATTTTCACATTGAAAAACTAAACAAAAGACATTCTATAGCACACTCCTACACACACACACACACACACACACACACACACATAAAAAAATGAACAAACAAGCATAAACATGAACCAAGCAATTCAACTAAACAGAACATTTATATCAACAATACCGAACAAAATCAATTACATGTAGTACCTTCTTTCTTAACGACCGGTTTCGGCATCCAAATCTCCAGAACTAAGAAGAGAAAACAAAATTCAATTTCACAAGAATTGATCTGTTATAAGATATTTACAGTGAGAGCATTCAGGTTAATAAAATAGATGTATATATTTTTTGGTATGATAAGTAAGACACAAGTCACGGATACACAGAAACCAATCGGTTAGCGTAACCAATGAAAAGAAGATTGTCAGTACTCACAATAACTAATCGACAATTACGAAATAAGTGTCATAAATTTACAACACAGATAAAACAAACGGTGAAATATTTCCAACATTCGACCCATAATATAAAAATGTAGCAACGATCTCTTCAACAAAACTAAACCAAACATGATGTCATGAAAACAACCTTGAACACTAATTACCATTGATCGATGATGAAAAAAACCATAGTTAGAATATGAACTTCGAGGAAATCCCGAAGTACCATAGCATTGGCCAACAAGTTTACAATCATACATTTTCAATGATAATTTTTTTAAATACATTGTACACTACACTCACATGGACCATGATGAATCATGATATGCCTTGTCGGATTAACATTATGGGGAACTGAAACAGAAAGCATGAATTCCATTTTGATTTATTAGAATATAATCGATGATTTTTCTCAAATAATTTTTATTTGTATTTCAATCACACTTCATTTATAGCATTTCACTTCTATCATTGTCTTGTTTTTGCTGTTCGCATAAATGTCATCTGTTGGTAATATCAGGATTGACTGAAAATCTTTAAACTAGTGTTTAGATAATATGATTTATAATCTCATGTAACGATTGTTTCAAGACCTCCACCAATGTGCATTATTTTGATAAGGAATGTTATTTGACACCTAAGCAATAGTTTGGCAGTCATTTATGAACTATCCAATTCAATAAAATGTTAGAACTCGAAAATACACATGATTTTCTCTTTTCATTCCCTCGTTACACTGTTGTTGTGTGTTTCTCAGACAAATAAAAGGGTTAATAACGCTGAAGTATTTATTGTATTCCCGAACATTATTGATTTACAGTTCTAACACAATGTCAGCTGAAATCTGAAGCAAGTAGTTCTGTGCAAGCTGACTTATTGCAAACTACTGATTCAATCCTGTCGAACAAATAACAGTAGGCTTTCTTGAAATCTTCTAGTCTTATCAAAAGTCAACTTTAATTGTAATCAGAAACAAAACAACAATAGGAATAGATAGAAAATTGCTCGTAATAATCATTAGATGGAGTCGATAGTAGACAGTTGCGCCTACAGATTCGGTTGTTCGTTCATTTTACCATGCCCTTCGTCAAGCAGGTTTTCTTTGTATCTGTGTATATAAGTTGGTACATTATTACATAAATGTACATAACAATCACAGAATAACTGCAAAATGAAAATGTGGAATACTCATCTGAGTAATAATAACTTGAACATTAATTCAACCATGATGAGTAATTAGGTAGAATACAATCATACACTGACTACACTCACTTGAAGCATTTTTAAGAATGTTCGAGTGTGTTGTATTCGAAACATTGTGAGCTGAAATGGAACACATGATTCGTATCTCAATTAGGTGGAAAATGCATTATTATAAAGAGTGTAGGCATTCACGTCTCCCATAAGAATCGTCAAATCCTTTCGTGAACATTTCTCGACGATTGACTGCAGCGTAAATAATAAATAAATAAATGAAATAAAATCATTACATCCTCGTCAGATCCACCTCTTTTATCAACGATGCTGTCCAGATGTGTAAAATTTTGCACAACTTGTGAAGCTTCTGCATCAAGTATGATTTGGTTGGCGCATGCTGTTTTGTATAGGAGGATCATGCTTTTTCCTTTGTGTGTGTTGAGACCTACTGCTGCAAGGGCTGCTACTACACTGGCTGTCCTCTAATTCATTTGTTGTATGCGTGATGGGAGAGCTAGATCGTGTGCGAATTCTAAATCAACCAGCCGACTCCGATCTGTCCACCACCTTCCTTGAATCACATGAGATGTCAACGTCTTCATAATCCAGTCAACCACCAGGAGAAGGAAAAATGGTGGTAGTAGGTGATCATCATAAGAACGCCGTATGATGTTGGCTATCTTCTCAGATACATCCTAGTGTCGAACAAGCCTCCAAGTTTCCATCCTGTCAACGCAGTCAGGTACCCTCCCATCGTCAAGAAATTTGATGCATCATTGTGAATTCCACTCAATTGATGGTTTCATAATGATCCGTAGTGTCGTATGCGACTTGGTCACTACATGATCGATCCTTACTGAATCCAACCCGCTGATCTCAAATTTGGGTGTTTACAGAGTGCTTCATTCGGTCTAACAACACTGTGTTGAAGACTTTTCCTGGTATTGAGAGTAGAATGATGCCTCTGTAGTTCTCACACTTGCTTAGATCTCCTTCCTTTGTATCTTGATGATGTGTCCTTCTTTCCAGTATGTTGGCGCTTGTTCGTCCCCCGAAATCTTGCCAAACAGAGCCTGGAACATCTTTGAAGTCACTGCTATGTCTCCTTTGAATGCCTCATTCCACATATTGTCCAATCCCGCCGATTTGCCACTCTTGATTTGTCTAATGACCGTGTCCATCTCTTAGATTGTTGGTGAGTTGACCTTAATTGGGAAGTCCATGTGTGCTGCTTCGATTTTGGATGTATTAAGTGTGGCTGGTCTATTCAAGAGTTCTTCAAACTGCTTCATCCACCTGTTTCGCTGTTTCTCAATTTCGGTGATTGGTTTTCCTTCCTTGTTCTTCACTGGTCGTTCTGGTTTATGATATTCTCCAGCGAGCTCCGTTGTTGTATCGTAGAGTTGTTTCATATTCCCTTGTCATGCAGCTTTTTCTACTATCACTGCTTCCTCTTCGGAATACTTCTCTTTATCAGCTATAATGCTACTCCTCACTTGCTAGTTTACTTCTGTACATTCGATCTGTGCCTTAGATTTCTCTGTTCTTGTTCGACTGAGATTGGTTGCTGCCTTCCTGTTCTTCCTTTCTTGAATCTTATCCAGAGTGGAGTATCAATAGAGATCCATTCCTTGTTATGGTGGTCCTTGTGGTTCGGAACTTCATGATATGCTGAAGTTATTGGTTCACTGATCCCATTGCAGGTTTTCTCCATGGTAGTTTCCTCTTCATTGATTTGATCGTGAAAGACTCGAAACTTGCTGCTCAGAGTTTTCTTAACTTTTTTGGGTGTGCCAGTATCCGTAAGAAAGACTGTATTGAACTTCGGTGATACTGTTCGCTCGGTTGTGCAATGTTTCTTTAGTTTCAGCTTCGTCTTGACCACTAGCAAGTGATGATCTGAGGCTACATCGATCGTCTCTAAGTTCCTATCTCCTCCATGGTCATTCTGAAATTTTTATTGATGCAGATGTGATCGATTTTGTTCTCCATAGTTTGATACTTTGAGACACATGTAGTTTTATGTATGCGCTTGTGTGGGAATATAGTGGCGTATAGAACTCCCTTTACCATGGCCTAATCGTTATGGTGCATTTCTCGATTACTGATAGCAGACTATCATCGGAATCCATCCTTATCGTTCTCATTGCAATCGGTAATTGGTGAATCTCATTGAATGTTATACAATACAGTCTTCAATTCATTTGTTTCGAAGGATGCTTTCATGATCATGAGCCGTTAAAATTCCGATCAAAATAGTACAAACCGATTTAGCACACATATATATTGTACAAAACCAGAGTTAGAATATGAACTTCGAGGAAATCCCGAAGTACCATAGCATTGGCCAACAATTTTACAATCATACATTTTCAATGATAATTTTTTTGAAACACATTTAAACACTGCACTCACCTGAACCATTTTGTGGCGTGTATTGGTGTGTCAGATTCAAATGACGCGGAGCTAAAACATAAAGAATGAATTCCATTTTGATTTACTAGAATATACTCGATGATTTTTCTCAAATAATTTTTATTTGTATTTCAATCACACTTCATTTATAGCATTTCACTTCTATCAATGTCTTGTTTTTGCTGTTCGCATAAATGTCATCTGTTGGTAATATCAGGATTGACTGAAAATCTTTAAACTAGTGTTTAGATAATATGATTTATAATCTCATGTAACGATTGTTTCAAGACTTCCACCAATGTGCATTATTTTGATAAGGAATGTTATTTGACACCTGAGCAATAGTTTGCCAGTCATTTATGAACTACAGATTCGGTTGTTCATTCATTTTTCCATGACTTTGGGCAAACGGGTTTTCTTTGTATCTGTGTATATAAGTTGGTACATTATTACATAAATGTACATAACAATCACAGAATAACTGCAAAATGAAAATGTGGAATACTCATCTGAGTAATAATAACTTGAACATTAATTCAACCATGATGAGTAATTAGATAGAATACAAATTCATATAACACTCACTTGGAGTAGATTTTAGAATGTTCGAGTGTGTTGTATTCGAAACATGTTGAGCTGAAATAAATAACATTATTTCTTTTTTATTTACATTGAACATATAATCTTATTTAGTCAAAACCTGTTTCAATTCCCTTGTAATCGAAATTTCAAATCGAATAACAAAATTAGTGTACGGTTTACCATACTTTTATGCAGACGGGTTTCCTTCGTATCTGTATATAACTTGGTACATTATTACATAAGTAGACATAACATTCACAGAATAACTGCAAAATGAAAATGTGGAATACTATTCTCAGTTATAATAACTTCAGCATCAATTCAACCATGATGAGTAATTAGGTGGAATACAATCATACACTAACTACACTCACTTGAAGCATTTTTCAGAATGTTCGAGTGTGTTGTATTCGAAACATTGTGAGCTAAAATAAAATAGATGATTTGTATTGTATTCATATGGGACATATATGCTGGTTTAGTCTAATTCCTTTTTCATTTTGTTTGTAATCGTAATTTTAATTCAACTTACATAATTATTTTACAACTTTATTTTTATATGCTAATAAAAGCGTATAATTTTTTCACTGTTACAAATCATTTCATCCTTTTTCTGATACTTTAACAAAGTTTCATTGTTCAAGGATATGACGAAATTATGTAATTTTTCTTAGCATATCTACACTCTCAATCTCTAGCGTTTATAAACATTTTCTTGAGTTATATCTTAGACACTGTGTATACTGTTAGATGAAAATATAAAAGAATTTATTTACTGCAAGAATGTGATACACTGATGAATGTCAAATAATTTTTTCCTATTGATATAACATTAATTACAAACTGTTGAATCACTGTGATTTAATGGTTAAGCTCGTTTATTATTTGTAATTCTCGTACAATGAACGCCTTGGATGCAGATTTCCTGGCCAGTTCTCGACCATTTTATCTAGTTCCAATCAAGTTGATAGGATCTTAAATGTTTCATCTTTTGATATACATTTCCGTTGCCGTGTAGTAACACTCCAGATGCTCATTAATCCGTAACATCTTTAAGAGAAAATCCCTTTCGGTTATTAAGCTTGAGATAAATTGTAAACCATATGATCAGACTGGAATTACGTCTACAATAAATCGACGTAATTTGGAAATAATGGTTTAGAATTGTTGCAAAATTTGACCAAGCTATTAGCAAATGTTTGATTGCTGGATATAATTCCAATATAAGTATCGAAGATTTTTGTCATCCTAATTTATAATAAAAGACAAAAGTCTTCATGTGACAGCTATTGAAAAAATAAACTGATCAACAATTTTCTTCGACAGTTTTAATCACCCGAATATCATCTATAGCTTGAGAACATGAAATACTACGAAACAAGACTGGTTTTTGATCTGGTTGTAGATAAATTAAGCAAGTCTTTATTAATTATCAACTTCTAAAACACACGCATACACTTTGATACGTAACGATAATTTTTTTCTCTTGGTCGGAGGAGTGTATCTAATGCCGTAAACCGACAAGTTTTATGACACAGTGTTATCGCTGAAATTCGGACCAATATTATTTCAGTGACAGCCATCGTGGCCTATTAAATAGAATTTGGTTTGTTATATCTTCTCAGTTTTCAATTTTATGTTTAATTTTCGCATAAATATGTCATTATTGATACCTATTAGATAAGTTGTCTATCTGTTAACCTAAAAGGTGAATTTACTAAGCAACAATTAGCTCTATTCTACCCTACACCTATGAAACATGAATTGTAAACATATAAGATATTTGTAGATCACTAGTATTTGATCATAGATGCATTGTTAGTGTATATATTGGAAACACTTAATAATTAATACTGAAGTTCGACTTGCGGTACTAGACAAGGATGACAAATGAATTGATAAGGTAATAAATCTTTTTCAGCCCTATTTTGGGCATGTATTACCTATATAAGTTTTATTTTCTTTCTAGACTGAGTTCCAGCCCAAAAGTAATAAACATTGCAGTAACCTTTCAATAGAATTAGACTGAGGAAGTTTATTTGAGAAACATATCGAGATGGGTCTTTACCAACACATATCTGATAAAGTTTCAGTATATGAATTAATCTCAATCCATTTCATTAGCTGTTAATTACTTTAGCATAGATTTAATTAGTATGCTATCTGAAGATTCAAACCTACATGAAATGAAAACATTATTCATAATCAATATCAAACTAAACATGAATTAGTCTATTGTGGCCGAAGCAAATCACTTTTGTAAATGTTAATTAGAACTAATAAAAGTATAAAATGGCGAAAGTTGATTGATAGTGAACAATTTTTTTGGGGGGTTGGGCAGGGGCGATTCATTTAAGATATACAAATGGTAAATTCTGCAAAACTGTATCATGAATGATATTTATTTTATTTAGGTTTTTTCATTACGAGAGTAGCAAAGCTACAAGTAGGTTATTTATGAGAAACTTTCATTTTCAGTATGAATTTGTGAATAATTTTCCAGAAAAGTTGAATATTAGTACGATCGATTACTTCGAAAAAAAAAAGATAGTAAGTATTATCGAAGTTAACTTAACTTCTGTCAAAACGATACACAAGTTACTTATTGAAATAAAGTGTGACCCTTAAAATATAATTAAGGAACAATTAAAGTATTATTTTTATGTAAACTATTCTGGATTATATTTTTATCTTGGTATACATTGTACAACAGGCATGAAAGATACAAATACACACTGGAAATGAATAGTTGGTCCAAATTTCTATCAGAGATAATAATGATAATAAACATTAACAAAACTATAAAAAATTAATATTAAAAATGTGGCAGCTAATAAAACGTTGACAATTGAAAAATTCAATCTACCATGTTAATTAATGGTCAACTGATAATCATTTCCCATTTTAATTAATTATTTAACTTAGAGTCTTTTAGTGAAATACATTAAATTTCATTTGTTATCAATTAAATATTATGTGATTATATTGTTATTGAGAAAATAGATACCTTGAATATTCAAAAGGGTTTTGCAACATAATTAACAAATGCTTATATGTCTAACCCTTATAAAGTATAATAAATTTATATTTTTTTCAAATTTCTTTATGAAAATAAAAACTATGTTACATTAGATTCATGCATAGTTGCTTTGTTGCAAACATTAATGATTTCATGTAATGCTACATTCAAAACCAGTGAAATGTGTTGTGAAAGAACTATGTTTTAAAGTAAGTCACCTCTTTTAATCTGAATAATCTCTATACACCATATTAAGAATAAGGATGCTAATATTTCACATGCTTTCAGTGAAAGTGATCATCAGAAAAAAATCTAAGTCGTCCTAAATTTTCTGTCAATCAATTGGTTGGTATTAAAGTATGCTAAAGTGTGACGCCATCCACAACGTTGTCATCATCAAAAAGATTTGCGTATCCAGAACTCCCAATTACTTTTTTTCATTTATTAAGGGAATAAATGCTTCATATCAAAGAGTAACCGGTATTCAAGATTTAATTTCAATCCCTAGATAGAAAGGGTGACAATGATTAAAGTATATTTTTCGATATATGTTCAGTGAATATCCTAATTTCTCTGATTGAAATTTGAAGAGTTTTGAAATGCGAGCTAGAGACCTCATTGACTAACCTGTTTTGTTTACTAAAATTAATTCTATCGGTTCATGTAAGTACATGAAATGCAAACATCTTCATAAAATGACCAAAACTGAGTAAAAAAAATCACTTAATCTATGCATAATACAAACTAATTTTACTCGATAGATTTATCAAAAAGGCAGTGTGTAATGTAACAGAACAATGACTACGATAATATCATTAATTGTAGTCAACTTACACTCTCCATTTGCGACAGAGTATAATGTATAAAATAGAACAATTGTAAACATTTCTTTTTTGATTTTAATAACTTCAAAATGTTTCATCTCTCTAATACTAAATTGTTATATATTACTTTGAAAAAGTTTTTACTTTGTTAATCCATGTTTACATATTCCTATGTCTACTGAAAAAAATAACAAGTGATTATTTGTGTATGATAAAGTCAAATAAACTGAGTTTAACATTTATGATGAAATATGATCAAATTACATCTGCTGTATTGAATTACACTAGTAATATTTATTACAAAATTAATAGTAAACTAAACAAATTTAATAATTGTAAGATGTACAAATATTAAAATAATCTTTCGATAAACAAACAAAAAACACACTTTTTTAAATTCAATTGTAAAATATGTTTTCATAAAATTACTATTTTAGATTTGAATTTGAAAATATTGTCTACAGTGACAGCTGCTTATCTTACCTCTTTAATTTTGTTATAGGCGGTAAAATATACTTTGCTTTAATTGTCTAGCGATGGACCTAACTGGACCACATCACTATCATCTATCAGTGGAGAGGCTGTATTGCACACTGCCATTCATTCTGAAACACTTGTTTAGATTCAGATCATGCTCTAGTGCAAGCACGTATTTGCTTGCTGCTTACTGGACGTATGAAAGACACCACAAGGAAACCTGCTAGGGTTCTACCTAATGATACCATAGCAGGAAATATATTTCAGGAACAATTAGAAAAACAGTTAGGCAGCCATGTAAGTGATTACCATCCCAAGGCAGCTTGGAATAATATCCAAAAAGGCTGTGGAAGAGCAGAATCAAGAAAACCAGACTGGATTCACACCTGGACGTGGATGTATAGATCACATATTCATACTACGACAGGTTCTAGGACACAGACACACATCTCGATGTCCTACTATAGTTGTCTTCCTTGACCTTAAAGCGGCACTTCACTCTGTCGATCGTGAGGTTCTGTGGCAATGTCTATCACTGAAATATGTACCGAAGATGTACATGAACCATATACAGGCTCTCTACTGGAACACCTTTTGACGAGTGAGAGCTTATGGAGAACTGTCACTGGAATTGATTACGTCAAGTGGTGTTCGTCAAGACAGGCCACGTTCTTCATTCTTGTTTGACTTTATCATTGACGTGCTTCTAAGCAGACTACTTTCATCATGTGACTTTTCAGGAGTTGACCGTTTGCCAGAAAATTCGTTTGTTGACCTAGAATATCTGATGACATAGTTCCACTTGGTGAAGACGCCGACAAAATGCAGAGTCTCCTGACTACCCTAAGCACTAATGCGAGCATGTTCGGAATACGCTTCTTCTCCTTCAAATGCATAATATTGCTTCAGGATTGGCTTGTATCGGCACCTGAACTAGTAACATGGAGTGAAGTAGTCCAATCTGTCGACCGCTTCACTTATCTCGGGAATAACATCATTGCTGATGGCCTGGTGACCGATGAAATCTCAGTACGAATGCAGAAAGCTCGACTGGCTTTTGCCAACCTGCGTTACTTATGTCCTAGACGGCATATCCGTCTACTGACCAAAGGACGAGTCTGCTGTGCAGCAGTTCGCTCTGACCTGCTATATGAATGCAAAACATGGCCAGTTAGCGTCGAAGATATTCGTAGGTTACTGCTTTTCTATCATAGGTGTCTTCAAAGCATTGATCGTATATCCTTGGATGGTAAATCGATAAATGAAGTAATGAAACGGATGTACAACCACTGACTGCCATGACTAGCTATGTTTTGTGGTGTAGGAGTAGGTTGGAAGAAGTACAGTTTGTTTGATGACGGTATTTGGCAGTCGTTTGGCATGAAGCTTAAAACCCAAATTTTGTATTAGTCTATACTCATCATCAAGTTTCGTTTATTTTTCCCAGTGAATTAAAACTGACGTCACGCGTTGTCCTTGTAGTACACATTACCAATGTATCCAGTCAATATAAAAGGTACTGCTTATTATTCACAGTTACAAAACGAGTATACAATGAATTGAAACTGTTTATGCTGTCCGTACTGATCAATAAGTACTTTGTAAATCTTCGTATATTCATTTATATACATTCAAATGAGTTCAACATCCACTCTTGATAACTATAACACATTTTGAACATATCTGGGAGCTTTCCTTTTAAAATTTACAAATAATACTATCATTTATTCTCTCTAGTGTTGTACTGGAGACTAATACTGAATAGTTGAATATCATTTCAATAATTGGTTTGTTTACAGTGCATATGTATATGTAAGAACAGAAAAGACAAAAAAGATGAAATTACTGCTTATTATACTAATTGCTAAAGATGCTGTTTGCTAAAAAACTTAAAACTGTCTGACAAACCGATTACTAATATAAACTAACATTTATAAAAATTTATAAGTATGTTATTTTTAAACAACCAATTTTGAGAGCGAATTGTGTGAAATTCCATAAAATGCTAAATCAAAATATTAACACTTAATTTAGAATAGCATACTCAGACTTTGAATGCAACGAAAGTGTAACTGCGTGATCGGCTGAATGTTTAATTTCTTATTGATCTAATTCCTCGGATTAGTGTACTTGATTTAGAAGGGAAACTTATGACACCAACGAAGTGATCATTTCAAGTAATGAAAGATGTGTATGAATATCAATAATAGTCCAAAATCAGAAACAATAGCACCTCATAAAGACTAGTTGGAGAATGCTTAATATTTTTCATGCAATTAATTATACATACGGAAACATGTTCGTTCCATACTGCTAAATGTTTCCCATATGACATTACGTCACCTCAAGCCCATTTATTTTGGTATGGTCCATTTTAATGAATACATCAAGAAAGTTTGTCATCCGAAATTCATTATCGATTCTAATAAAGACAATCAATAGATGTTATCCTTATCTATGACTTAAAACAAACCTCCAGATTGCTCTAAATACTCAGATGAGTCTAATGGGCCATTATAGACAATGGTGACACCGAACCGATAATTCGAATTCGGAATTTAAAATCATTAAATTTCAATGTTCTAATCAAGGCATCCAAGGTTCCTATTAAATGTATTAGAAAACATGGACCCCTGTTTTGCACATGCGTAACTTTAAAATTAGAAATGAAAACTCTAAATTTGTGACTTTTGAATTTTCGGTTAACGAAAGTGGACCGTCAGTACCCCGTTTTATAATTTGAACAGTGTTCAGCGAAGAACTTTTATATTGAAAAGTGAAGATAGTTCTTATAGACCGCTCAAATATTTGATTATTGAACACTGTAAATGTAAAATATATCCATTACTCTCAGGCATCCTTATTTATGTAGGAGATTAGTTCACCGGAACTTTGAGAACTGTCATTGATTAAATTTTTGCCGCATTATCCAATGGACTAGGTAAAAGCGCGACTGTTGATCTTTTTAAATAAAGAAGTGTCAAACAAAGCTCCAGTAAGCTACCAAACTGAAAGTGTTTTCGTTCTAACACATGCTTATAACATGTGGAAATTACATAGAATTATAGAAACGGAACTTGACTGCTCATCAGAAATGCTGTGTCAAATATTGATAAATTGATGTTTCTCAAATTAGAAATCAATTATCGATCGTCACGTTATTCAAAGACATTTCAGACCATATTAATACTTCTGACAGCGGTAAGTCGACCACAGATAATGTAGAACCGACAGTGAATATGAATTTGAGTAGACATCTAATGAAATTCCAGCAGAACCTCAGAGTAAGCTACAAATATCCTAACTTCCGTTTAAACTATAACGAATGTTATGTCTACAATAATTGATAAATATGTTACCTACTACAGAAGGTATCTGAATCTTATAACTTTATTCTACAATATATGACAAAAGTGACTATGGAAGAACTCATTTGTGAATATTACAGAATATTCAAACAAACGTGTATTTTAAACCAACAGGCCGTTGACCCAAATGTTTTACTACTTTATCTCGTCATGATGCGGCAATTAAACTGCACCAATTATACTGCAATATGGCTGTCTAATTTATGTTACAGAAAGATCCAGTAATAAATGGGCGAAATCTAATATTTTCAGTATTCGGTTTATTAAACTGAAAATGTATTAAACCAGGCATATCATCAAGATACATTTTAGACATGTTTGGTTCGCGTTATCATACTACAGTAAAGAGGCTAGTTACTGTTTTACAACCACTACATATACAGATTGAGATACGATATTAAGGATTTTTCCTAATCTATCAGAAAGATCGAATGTAGAAACATTTGACCAAAAACACAGGTTTATCTTGGTAAAATACCATCATTCACTATCAAATATACTCACGAACAACTTGGACTAAATGGGACACAAAATAAATAACAGATATTAGGATTACCACTGTTTTTAACTTTTCTATTTTTTGTCTCTAATACTGTGGCTTAAATTCATTCAAAATGTTTTTAAAACTATGACCTTGAATATTTGCCTTTATATTGTCTGTTTTGAATGTCGACCACATTTCTGGATAGATTTTAGCGATGTAATCATATTTTAATAGATTTAAGAATAATTAAGCCTTCAAATAGCCCATGGGAATCCCAGCTGCATACGATCTCTGAAAAGTGTAGCAATTATTGGCGTCTAAATGGTGATTATTGACAACTAAAAACGAAAACCACACCTAATATTTACCCGTCGTCTCACATTCACGGCTTAGCACCTACTTTCAAAGGTGCAACTGTCCTTTCAAAAATCGGCTTGGTTAACTCATGTAACCGGATCCCTATGTCTGCGGAAAACCTTCATAAAACGGCTATCACCACTCGCTCTAGAACTTACGAATTTTTGAATCTGACTTTAGGTTTAGGAAATACTGCTTAAACTTTACGAAGGTTCATTGATGATGCTTCTAAAGGTCTCATTTTTGTGTACACTTATGATGATGACTGTCTGATCTAAAGTCTAGAAATAGAATCCCACCTACAGCATCCGTGCCTTATCTCTCACAAACTTTAGGAATACGGATTTTTTGTAAACATACAAATGTATCGAATTGGAACTAACCACGTCGATTTTCTTGAGCACACTGTTAA